GCGTTTATATGTCGCATATATCAGAAAGTTAAACTAAAACTAAATCTATTCCTAAATTTATCGAGTAGTTTTAGTTTTTCTTTTCTCCATTTATATTCGAACTCGAATTAGGCAGCTGCTCCATTTTCTCTTCTTCTATCTCATACAACCATCTCCACTTTTTCACACTTTTCACACAGACACTCACCACACTAGATCTCCGAAGCAATCACATCGAATCTATCGGAGCACAACATCTTGCTGATGCACTACGCAACAACACTGTGACTCTCACTCTCTTCATCTATCTCATACAACTATCTGCACTTTTTCACACAGACACTCACCACGCTATATCTCCGAAGAAATCAAATCGGACCTGTCGGAGCACAACATCTTGCTGATGCACTACGAAACAACACGGTGACCCTCATTCTCTCTTCATCTACCTTATACAACCATCTGCATTTTTTCACACAGACACTCAACACATTAGATCTCCAATATAATCAAATCAGAGACTATGGAGCAGCACATCTAGCTGATGCACTACGAAACAACATGGTGACCCTCATTCTCTCTTGGTCTATCACATACAACCATCTGCACCTTATCATACAGACACTCACCACAATACATCTCGGAAGCAGTCGAATCGGTTCTGTCGGAGCACAACATCTAGCTGATGCACTGCGAAACAACACGGTAACCCTCATTCTCTCTTTATCTATCTCATACAACCATCTGCACTTTTTCACACAGACACTCAACACACTAGATCTCCAATATAATCAAATCAGAGACCAAGGAGCACAACATCTTGCTGATGCACTACGAAACAACACGGTGACCCTCATTCTCTCTTCATCTATCTCATACAACCATCTCCGCTTTTTCACACAGACACTCACCGCACTAGATCTCTACCAGAATTATATCGGCGCACAACTCAGAGATCGTGTGAACGAGTTGATAAGTCGAAACAATCACGGAAGCAAACAGTGAATATTGTTTTAATGTTGACTTAATTGTGAAGAAATGTTGGGAATTGAGTGTGTGATTGATATTGGTTTTTTTTGAAAATAAATAGGAAGTGTTTTGGGTTGTAACTTGAGGGGGTGTTGGTGGGGTGAGTGTGTGGGGTGTGGGTGTGGGGTGTGGGGGTGTGGGTGTGGGGTGTGGGGGTGTGGGTGTAGATTGTGGGTGTAGATTGTGGGCGTGAGGGTGTGGGTCTGCTTGTGGGTGTGGGTGTAGGTTGTGAGCGTGAGTGTGGGTGTGGCTGTTGGTGTGGGTGTAGGTTGTGGGCGTGAGGGTGTGGTGTGGGTTGTGGGCGTGAAGATGTCGGTATGTGTGTGTGAGTGTGGGTATGAAAACTTCTCCACACTCACACCCACACCCTTCCCGATGGTGAAAATTCTAGAATCCTCAACCTTTGACCTTTGACCCGGCATAGAGTAACAGACAGACAGACACTGAACATTATATAGATTCACTTATTATTCTATTAATATAAGAAAAGTTTCTTTAGTAAGATTATTTAAATAGACAAAATTTTAACTTCAACTGAAATTAGTTAAACAAGCATAAGTATACAATTCTATAGGTTACATCAACATTTGGCTGTTGATAAATATTTATATTTATTTATTGATTGAATCTTTTGTAAGTATTAAACAACAACTTCATCTGCATAAATAAAGCATGTTACTAAACATATTAAAACGAAAAATCGTTTCAACATCCTTTCATGAGATGATTCATTATCTTTAGCTATTGTACAACTTATTAATCATACTGGTTGTTTTACTGTGAGTAATCTGAACAATTTCAAAAATAATATTACTTAAATCATGGAATTGTTAGATTATATGCTTCGTGATGAAATGTCTAAATCTTATTCTATATTCGTATCTATCACTAAATAGGTATGCCATTCATTGTATCACATAATAGCTATCTAACAATTATATTCGCGCCACTATAATCATAGTATGCCTGATAATTTTTATTCTTTTGAAGTGAGCTAATTCATTATTTATGTGTACGATATCGGTTGATGCTACTTTCAACTTCATAGATTACATTTTGAAGATTATCAATGTTTATGAATCTTATAAATAAATAGAATAATTCAATCGCTTCATATTGTGTAACTCTAAAATACATGCGATATATCTGATATTGCACGTAATGATATTTGATCATTATATACCTATATGTTTGCTGAATGAATGCAATGTGAAACACCTCATAGAATTTGCCTGAAATGAAATTCCGACAAAGTTATTTCTAATGCACCAATAGTGTCATTTATGATGATTTTCTTTTGTTATTTTTTGAACATGTTTATATTGACTTCCTTCAAATGTAACTGATATCACATTTGTGTGAGAAAGTTCAATGGATCAGATCAGAATCTTATATGCCTTTGTTCGTTTATACTTTGTAATTTCAAAAAGACAGATGACACCAACTGAGAGCGAAAAGAAGTGTTTTATGAAGAATCTTAGGTTAATGAAACTTTTAATTGCTGAAAGTTTTAGTTCGGTTGCATGTATTTTTCAATAAAATCGGAGATTTCCATCGGTATTGAACTCATGTCATCTGTAATAGTACTAGAGATTTGTTCAATAGTTGAAATTTCTTCTTTGAGTGCTTCAAGGTCAGCTAACAGATCGCTATCATGAAGATCGAAGAAAATAAGTTGTTTCATTTTTGTTTGTGTAGAGTCGATAAATTGAAGATTGTTTACACGAATTTTACCACTTATTTGTTCAATACATATATAAACAGTACATGAAACAATGAGTACACTAAGCTTTTTCAGAAGTCGTTCAAGTCTTGGAAGAATCTGAAAGCTAATATATCTTGATTTTTGTTGAAATGGTTGTAAAAATTTCTCTAATGCTTTGAATAAAATCCATTCATGCATATATTTTTTATAACGCCAGAGAGAAAGAGTACGATTGTTAGTTGCGTCTATTGTTGTCATACTCGATGATATATGCTTTTCTACAGCAGATAAAAAATAGGAACGATAATCACTAACCGATAAGTCTTGAGTAGTTTTATATGGTAAGCAAAGAGTAATCTTTGAGTCAGATGCATCATACCAATCCTCACGAAGTTCAAGATATCGTAAGAGTCGTCCTAGACGTTTTGTTATAGATGGCCTGCTATTAATGTTATCTTTCATAGACCAATACATTAACCATTCTTCTTGCCGTACTTCGTACATTTCTGAAAATTTTCGGTCAGCATCTTTCATCACTACTGTACATTCATTATTCGTCGTTCGACTTGTTTTGGAAAGCTTTTCCAACCTATTTATTTGTTTTTGTATCTTCATCTTCATCTGATACTTATCATTTGCGTTTATATCAAATGCTTTTTGATAACACTCTAATGCACGTACCTTATCTCGAATCATTCCATAAGTTTCTCCGGCAAAGCGAAGACATTTAAAAACTTCCTCGGTATCATTCGTACAAAACTGTTCTAAATATTCTTCATATAAGGCTATCCATCTTGTGGGGATCTTCTGCCAAGATTTAAATGTATTAAATAAATACGAAAAAGATGACTGATATGATTTGATCCTAGGAATAGTACGTAAAATATCTTTGTGTATATCAATTGCTTTTCTTGACCAATATAGATCTTCGGTAAAACAATCATAGAGTATTAGATGTAGCGGTTGCTCACTTGCAAGACGTGTGCCCCACTGATAATTTAAATTATTCCACCATTTTTGCCAATTCATGTTTTTGAATTTCAATTCATCTTCAGCATTCATTTTTAACATATCTAAAATATCGCTGTAAATGTCTGGATTTGTTTCGTTTCTAATTCTTTTGACAATGTTGAAGTGATTAAGACTACATTCTCCTTGCTTATCTGTAATAAGTTCTAGTGTAATGAATATCCAAGAACCAGAAGACAGATTTACTGGATATTCGACATGTTTTATACGAAAATGTGTTATAAGAGAAAAGAGTACTTCTTGCTCATCTGGCATGACAGATAATGAAGAAATGTTAGCAAACACTTGTGTGTGATCATCGGTGTGTTTCTGTTGTATGTTGTACTCATCAGTGATAACAATCTCAAATAGACAAGGAATTTGATCGGTCACAGGCGATGCAAAGTTCATTGCGGTTTCAGGATTAAGTGATGTAGAACCAAATGCAGTCATTGTAACAACAGGGTTTCTCGATTTGCAAACTGAATTAAGGTAATTGAGTTCATTCAAACTGAGATTTTGTCCTCGATAAACGACTCGAATGAATGGTTCATTGAAAAGATAATACTTTTGATGATAGCTATACAACTGTGAATGTAAATCTCTGATAAATGGTCTAAATTTTTTTATTGTTTCCATGTTTTGTGTACGTAAAGCATGGTTTACGATACGATAAAGAAAACTATCTTTTGTATATTCAGAGATGGCATTATCAGATTCATACGTTAATTGGAATCGTTCGATGTTTCTAATCATAGAAGGATTGTTTCTGTAGTAGGCACGACATTCATTGAACATTTCATTATAAGAATCTCTGGAATATTGAGATTGATAACAGATAACTAGAAGAAATAAATGATACCATTGAGATGTGATCGTTGAAGCTTGTTGAAAGGATTTTTGTCCAAATGCCCATCGTCCACTACGTTGTTTAATATCACCATGAAGTCGAATAAGTAATTCAGTTGTATTCGAAACAGTACATCGTATTTTTTCCATTCCTTTTGTCCATAGTGCATGTTTGCTTTCATCTATACAATAGATATAAAGACTTATAACTTGTGGTTCATTGACATATGTATGTGCATACACTTTTCCCAATGTGCCAGAAATAATTAAAAAAATGTTCGTGTCATTTAGATCATGAATAAATTTAAGACTTGTTTCAATATCATTAAATGATCGTACACAATCTTTACTAATAATTGTAGGAAAGTTTTCCAATAAATAATGATGGTCATTAATGCCTACAATAACTACAACATATTCATGAAAATTGTTTTCTGTTTTAAGATTTAATGATTGTAAAGTATCTTCAGTGACGTGACGTGTGTAGTCGTTTTGTTTTGTTGATGTTGTAGCCATTATGTAGGTATTTTTTGTTTCTAATAACAAAATGCTGAAATATAAAGAATATCAAAAATTTCTACTATAATAGAAACACTTTATGTCTATACACTACATGTGTACACATATCGTATTTTCAACAGTTCAAAATGTGAATATCTCGAGTGAATGTATCCGATCAGAGTTCGGATGTGAAATCACTGACAATCAACATCCATTAAATGTATCGAATAATCGAATCTCTAATAATGGAAATTGATTTGGTCAGATTATTGGATTGAATCCTCTAGTATTACTCTGTAACTTGTCATTTTATCATTTAACATATATTTTTCTTAAGCATCAACTTATGAAAGTCAAAAAAACTACTGTAAAGTACTTCTTGTTTCAATATTTTCACATTCAATGTCGAATAAAAAGGCAAAAAAGAACGATGAAGAAAAATTAAACCTCATGGGGAATAGAACAAATGAAGAATTAGATAATTAAGACTAACAGGCTCTTTGTTCCAAAATAGCTCAGAATATGTCTTTATATTGTAAAAATTAGAATTTATATTTGGCTATTGAAGCCGATTGTAATCGTTACATAAATTTCGACATATTGACAAATAAGCAAGCTATTTTCACCTGAACTGCCAGGGTCATCAAATGGTTTAAAAGCAATATTAAGTATAAAAAAATGAAAAGATCATATATTCGAAATATCATGAGATATTTCGTCTTCCATAAGGCATGTTTAGAATGGATTATTGTCGCCGAATATGAGTGTCATTACTTGATGCATTTCTCCACGATATTCGCTAGCTTAAATAAATTCAACTATAGTAGTTAATATGCTAATCGATCAAATCAAATCAGTTAATGTGTGTGGAAATACCACATCGAAAAACTACAATATTACAACATACGTTTGGAGAGATTACGGTAGTTTCTTTGGAGACGACGAATAGCCTATGGAACTGTGATTTTTTTTGTAAAAAGTCGATGAAAAGTATTTGAAATAGAAATGAACTTTTACAAATATGTGTACAGCAATAATCACCCTTTTCTTCGAAAAATAGTTCAGGAATGATTAAGACAACATTTACCTCTACACAGATGACCATAATTACCCAAACATATTCTTTATTCGTCAGCAGTGTCACAGATCTAAAAAATTAGAGATCTCCAATACATAGAAAAAATTACCATATGCTACAGCAGTACTACAAAGAAATCATACCCTTCTCACTAACAACAATACTCCATAGAGATACCGCATCTCTAATCAGATCTCTAATAGAGATGCCGCATCTCTAGTACCCTCCCCCGGGTCAAAATTCCAAATATTTTTTTCTCTTAGAGCTCTGATTCCTAGAGATGCAGCATCTCTATTAGATATCTGACTAGAGATGCGGCATCTGTATTAGAGATCTGACTAGAGATGCGGTATCTCTGCAAGAGATGCCGCATCTCTAAGTGGAAAGTTTCCTTTGTGAATTTTAGATCTTAATGCTTCAAAACGACTTTCAAATTATCGATATAAAAAGAATTCTACACCCACACATCACAGCCCTAGATGAGGGTGTGCGGAAAGGAGTTTCAACAGGAGATGTGTGGCATCCGTTGCAGGATATAGTACAGTACTCTGGGCATCCTAAAGATCTGGCATCCCCATTAGAGATCTGATTAGAGATGCGGTATCTCTATGGAGTGTTGTTGGGTCAAAAAAAGTGAGCTCCAAATTTGGAGTTTACGACTTTCCAGTTTTTCAACCAATTGCAGGTTGTAACTCCAGACTTTTTTTCTTCAGCATTATCGGTTGACTCAGCATAGTCAAGAATATCTATTTGAGCAATCAAAAACAGAATGTTAAAGGCTGGAGCTTAAATTTTTGGTGAAAAATAGAAATTCGTAAACTCCAAATTCGGAGCTGACTTTTTTTCACCGTGTTGTTGCTAGTGGGAAGGATATCATTTTTATATAGTACTTCTATAGTGTATTGTAATTTTTTCTATATGTTGGAGATCTCTAATTTTTCAGATCTGTGACACTACTCTTATTCGTATATCTACTCCTATAGATATATCTATGGGGGTTACAAATTTGACTGGTACCCCGTTTTGATGCAGATCCTATTGTAAGAATAAAACCTACTATTGTCCGGGCCATATAAGAGAGGGTCCTACATAACCCTAGATTGGCCCGAAC